ATAATATATAATTCATCTAATATTTGATTTATGTTGAATATATAATGCAAAATTGAATTTGAAAAAAAAAAAAAAATGCAAGCAAATTGTATTTGGAAATGTTTGCTGCTGTCTTCGCTGATTGCTGGAATCAGCCCAGTGGGAGCTCTCAACATCTTGGGTCTCTTCATCCATCCCGCCATCAGCCATTTTCAGTTCTTTCAGCCACTTCTGCGCCGGTTGGCCGAAATAGGTCACAACGTGGATGTCGTCAGCCCATTTCGCGATGCACAGCCACCGAAGGGCTATACGGACTACACCCTGCCCAGCGTCAATTTGAGCAACCAACTTGGTTTCGATGTGAGTTGCTGAATATATAATACTTGTTTATTGGCCGACTTCTTCAAATAAAATTAGTAACTATATCTCGGTTTATTGTATATTCATATCAGACAATCTGCATCACAGACAGGCAGCTAATCAGTATCTCAATTCATGCCAGTCACTTGATCAATCTGTTAGTCAGTCACTCATTCAGACAATTAGCCTGCGAGTCAATATATTATATATTAATCAGTCAATCCAGCAGGCAGTCAGTCTGTCAGTCAATCAGTCAAAAAGTCTGTTCAATCAGAATGCATTAATAACTGTAATCAAGCAATGCATCAGTCAATCAATCAGTCCATCAATTCTTTCCGCAGATGTTTGAAGATATTCCTATGCCATCTCTGTTGCCGTTCGGCGAGTTCTTCATTCTGTACGCCTATGGCAGGGATGCCTGCAATGCGACGCTGCATAGCGAGGCACTCGCCCAGGTGCTCCAACATCCTGCTGGCTATTATGACGTCATCATCATGGAACAATTCAATACGGATTGCATGATGGGTGTGGCTTATCAACTGCAGACGCCCGTCATCGCCATGAGCAGTTGCGCCCTGATGCCGTGGCATTACGAACGCATGGGCACTCCAATAATACCATCCTATATCTCGGCTCTGTTTCTGGGCCAGTCCGAGAACATGTCCTTCTCGGGTCGCCTTGGCAACTGGCTGACCACGCACACGCTCAATTGGCTTTACAGGTGAGCAGCAGTTGATTATGGATCAGAAAAGGGGCAGAGATTTACTTTCTGCTTGCAGCTTGTTTAATGTGCCCGCTGCTGATGCGCTGCTCCGTCAGAGATTTGGCCCCGGCATCCCGAGCACTGGCGAGCTGGTGAAGAACACCTCACTGATGCTCATCAATCAGCATTTCTCCTTCAGCGGCGCCAAGCCTCTGCCACCGAATGTCATCGAAGTGGGCGGACTGCATCTAAGGGCAGCGAAGCCCTTGGACGATGCACTGCAGCAGCTGTTGGACAACGCTGAGCATGGCGTTATACTCATCAGCTGGGGCTCCCAGCTGAGAGCCAACTCGCTGTCCAGCGCTAAGCGTGAGAGTCTCCTTCGCGCCTTGGCTCGTCTACCGCAGCAGATTATCTGGAAGTGGGAGAACGACACGCTGCCCAATCAACCAGCCAACGTGCACATCATGAAGTGGCTGCCACAGCGCGATATCCTAGCGCATCCCAATTTGCGCGTATTCTTCAGCCACGGCGGCCTGATGGGCCTCACGGAGGCCGTCGCCAGCGGCGTGCCTGTGGTGGGCATGCCAGTCTATGGTGATCAGTACTTGAATGTGGCGGCTCTGGTGCAACGGGGCATGGCTGTGCGTGTGGACCTCAGGCAGTTCAGCGAACAGACCATATTTGACGCACTCACTCAGGCATTGGATCCCAGCTACAAGCAGCAGGCCAAAAAGGTTGCTGCTGCCTACAACGAACGTCCGCAATTGGCGATGGATAACGCTCTCTGGTGGGTACACCATGTGGCTGAGACACGCGGTGCTCCACTGCTGCGGTCCAGTGCTGTGAAGCTCAATCGCTTTGTCTACTATTCGCTGGATGTCTATTTGGCAGTTGGGGCAGCTCTGTTATTGCTCCTGGTCATCGCTCTTAAAATATGGCGTATATGCTGCGGACGGAAGCGACAACTGTTGAAAGCCAAGCGAAGTTAGTTAAGAGCAGATAATAATAATAAAAATTACTTAATATATTCAATAAAAACTCAACGTCAACGCTCATTTCAATAAATGAGCAAGGAGTCGACTAAATCAAACTTGATAAAAGTGCGGGCGATTTAAAATCTGTAGTTCAATTGAACAGTTGCATAATTACCAGACGATTATTTACATTACGCACTGCTTGGCAAGCAGTTCAAAAGTTTTCGAGTGCATACTATGGGTATTTTGCTTATGAAAATTAGGTATTTTTTGCCTTTAGAACTTTTTATACCTTAGAAATTCGATTTCAAACTTAAATTTATATACAAAATACGTATTTAATAATAATACGTATTTAATAATAATACGTATTTAATAATAATACGTATTTAGTAATAAAGAAAAGTGCAAAGCTATCAATAATTATAGCCGCATATTTAAAAATGTTTGCTAATAAAAAATACCAATTCATATATTTACATAGACAACAAATATGTACATAATTTACAACTTTGCTTTGGACGCTCCAGGGAAGCCCAGGCGATAGAGAGTTACCACAACGGCACCACCCAGACCCAGATTATGTTGTAGTGCCAACTTTACATTAGGCACCTGACGCTTCTCAGCCAAGCCACGCAGCTGCCAGCACAGCTCGGCGCACTGAGCCAAGCCTGTGGCGCCCAAGGGATGTCCCTTGGAGATGAGTCCTCCACTGGGATTGATCACAAATTTGCCGCCATACGTGTTGTCTCCCTTATCGATAAACTCGCCAGCCTTGCCCTCTCCACACAGGCCCAAGGCCTCGTAGGTGATCAGCTCGTTGGCCGAGAAGCAATCGTGCAGCTCCACGACCTGCACATCCTGTGGCTTGAAACCGCTCTTGGCGAACAGCCGCTGAGCGGCAAGGCGAGTCATGTCATAGCCGGCAATCTTCATGAGGCTCTTGTCAGCAAAGGTCGACTCGGGATCGCTGGCCATCTCCATGCCCACAATCTCAACGGCCTGCTTTTCCAGACCATGACGACGCACAAATTGCTCTGAGGCCAGAATTGCAGCACCCGAGCCATCTGAAGTGGGACAGCACTGCAGCTTGGTGAGCACACCTTCCACCACCTGCGGAGACTTCATAATCTGCTCCAGGCTGTATTCATCACGGAACTGGGAGTATCTATAACAGCAGGAGGAAAGGGGCGACAGATTAAGATAAGACTGACTGCACCACTCGTCTATCAAATGTATGGCCAATGTTCAGCGAGAGGATGGCCCCACGATAAGCGATACCAGATAAGATAAGCGCATTCGTCTATTATGGCATTGAACTTTCGACTGAGCACTAATCAATTCATATAGAACTTACGGATTATTAACCGAGTGCTTGTGATTCTTCCAGGCGATCTTGCCGAAATGTTCCGGCTTGGAACCGTACTTCTTCATGTGCTCCTTGCCAGCATTGCCAAAGATCTGCGCAGCCATTGGTCCAGGTCCAATCTCTGTTAGCTCTCCCATTTCGGTAATGTGACGCTCCATGGGATTGGCACGATCAAAGTACTAACAATAAAGATAATGTTATGGGTGACTTTGCTTGGGGATGGATGTTCCCTCTAGCTACCTTTGACGCCAACGAGCCACGCTCCATTTTNTCAGAAGTGGGACAGCACTGCAGCTTGGTGAGCACACCTTCTACCACCTGCGGAGACTTCATAATCTGCTCTAGGGTGTATTCGTCGCGGAACTGCGAGTATCTAATCATAAAAAAGATTAGATGAGTATATGCAACACATTAAAGCTTCAATTGAACAAGGGCACTTACGGATTATTAACCGAGTGCTTATGATTCTTCCAAGCGATCTTTCCAAAGTGTTCCGGCTTGGTGCCGTACTTCTTCATGTGCTCCTTGCCAGCATTTCCAAAGATCTGCGCAGCCATTGGTCCAGGTCCAATCTCTGTTAGCTCTCCCATTTCGGTAATGTGACGCTCCATGGGATTGGCACGATCAAAGTACTAACAATAAAGATAATGTTATGGGTGACTTTGCTTGGGGATGGATGTTCCCTCTAGCTACCTTTGACGCCAACGAGCCACGCTCCATTTTCTCAAATCCCAGAGCSAGRACACAGTCTGCGTTGCCCGACTCGATGATTTGCTTGCCCAGATACAGGGCACTCGAGCCCGTGGAGCAGTTGTTGTTCACATTGTAGACGGGAATGCCAGTCATGCCCACCTCATAGACCGCACGCTGACCGCAGGTGGAGTCGCCGTAGACATAGCCCACAACAGCCTGTTGCACCTCCTCGTACTTAATGTTGGCATCCTGGAGAGCCTTGGTAACTGCCTCTTTGGCAAAGTCGGGATAACAAACATCAGCGCGGCGACCTGGTTTCTCGAACTGAGAGTCGAAAGTCGGATAAAGTTGGAGACAAAGGTCACTTGTCTGATACGAACCTTGGTCATGCCAACGCCGATAACGTAAACTCTTGTCTTAGTCATTTTGATGTGCTTCTATTGTGGTAAGCGTCCGAGAAGTAACTGCTCTACATATTTTCAGTTGGGCGCGAATTCACTTCAGTAAAAATGGAATCAGTTCAATTGACTTGGTCCATAATTTTGAGTAAGTTCAATTTTAAAGTATTTAGTGTGGAATATGAGTCCTTTAGTATTTAGTATTTAATTATTATTTACGAAATTGATGGCTGAAGCTGAGCTGCTCACGCCAGCAAAACTAGTTTAGCTAATCTTCAAGTTTTTATGCATAAAAAATTAACTGACTCGCAAGGTAGTCAATTATTTGTTAAACTGAATTATTTCAACTATATATCGAATCTACAATTTATTTAAAATCGATACTATGTTAAATTCTTTTATTTTGTTACGCAAGTTGCGAGAAGCAGTGCGAATATTTTATAAATACCTAAACATATCGATATTGTCATCGATAGTTTTGTTTAGCTTACCAGAGAACTTGTTTTGAGGTCTTCAGCTAATGTTTAGTTATTGATTAAAGCCGAGTCGTAGCGGTTTAATTTGTAGTCCATCTAAAGAATAATACTTGAACTCACAATGACCCAGACCCGAGTGTATGTAGTTGGTGTTGGCATGACCAAGGTAAATATCATTATGTATTATTACTACATACATATGTAAAAACAGGTGCAACAAAGAAAAGACGATCTTAAAGAAGCTGCCACAACAAGTTGTTCCATGCTCCTCCCCCTTTCCCAATAGTAATTATCGCACTCGGACTTTGAACTACAGTGCACTTCGGTCATTAAAGAAATAGAAATCTTGTTGCTGCGCAATCTAATTTCCATGTTTTGCTACTATTATCTAAAATAATCGGATTAAAGGTTGTTCGTCTATAAATAAAAGCTATTGACTCTTTCAACAGTTCGAGAAGCCTGGTCGCCGCACCGATATTTGTTATCCGGACTTTGCCAAAGAGGCAGTCACGAAAGCTCTCCAGGATGCCAAGCTCCAGTACACGGATGTGCAACAGGCTGTTGTGGGCTATGTCTACGGCGACTCCACCTGCGGTCAGCGTGCGGTCTATGAGGTGGGCATGACTGGCATTCCCGTCTACAATGTGAACAACAACTGCTCCACGGGCTCGAGTGCCCTGTATCTGGGCAAGCAAATCATCGAGTCGGGCAACGCAGACTGTGTYCTSGCTCTGGGATTTGAGAAAATGGAGCGTGGCTCGTTGGCGTCAAAGGTAGCTAGAGGGAACATCCATCCCCAAGCAAAGTCACCCATAACATTATCTTTATTGTTAGTACTTTGATCGTGCCAATCCCATGGAGCGTCACATTACCGAAATGGGAGAGCTAACAGAGATTGGACCTGGACCAATGGCTGCGCAGATCTTTGGCAATGCTGGCAAGGAGCACATGAAGAAGTACGGTTCCAAGCCGGAACATTTCGGCAAGATCGCCTGGAAGAATCACAAGCACTCGGTTAATAATCCGTAAGTTCTATATGAATTGATTAGTGCTCAGTCGAAAGTTCAATGCCATAATAGACGAATGCGCTTATCTTATCTGGTATCGCTTATCGTGGGGCCATCCTCTCGCTGAACATTGGCCATACATTTGATAGACGAGTGGTGCAGTCAGTCTTATCTTAATCTGTCGCCCCTTTCCTCCTGCTGTTATAGATACTCCCAGTTCCGTGATGAATACAGCCTGGAGCAGATTATGAAGTCTCCGCAGGTGGTGGAAGGTGTGCTCACCAAGCTGCAGTGCTGTCCCACTTCAGATGGCTCGGGTGCTGCAATTCTGGCCTCAGAGCAATTTGTGCGTCGTCATGGTCTGGAAAAGCAGGCCGTTGAGATTGTGGGCATGGAGATGGCCAGCGATCCCGAGTCGACCTTTGCTGACAAGAGCCTCATGAAGATTGCCGGCTATGACATGACTCGCCTTGCCGCTCAGCGGCTGTTCGCCAAGAGCGGTTTCAAGCCACAGGATGTGCAGGTCGTGGAGCTGCACGATTGCTTCTCGGCCAACGAGCTGATCACCTACGAGGCCTTGGGCCTGTGTGGAGAGGGCAAGGCTGGCGAGTTTATCGATAAGGGAGACAACACGTATGGCGGCAAATTTGTGATCAATCCCAGTGGAGGACTCATCTCCAAGGGACATCCCTTGGGCGCCACAGGCTTGGCTCAGTGCGCCGAGCTGTGCTGGCAGCTGCGTGGCTTGGCTGAGAAGCGCCAGGTGCCTAATGTCAAGTTGGCACTGCAACATAATCTGGGTCTGGGTGGTGCCGTTGTGGTATCTCTCTATCGCTTGGGTTTCCCGGGTGCCGGTGGCGTGAAGCAGAACAAGACCGCTGCCGCAAAGAACGCAACCAGCGAGGAGGGCTTCAAAGTGTCGCCGCTGCTTAAGCTGCTCGAGCAGGCCATGCAAGAGGACCAAGACAATCTAATTGAAAAGGTGCGTGCTGTGTATGGCTTCAGGGTGAACAATGGACCCCAAGGTCAGACCGGCTTCTGGGTAATTGATGCTAAGCAAGGCAAGGGCAAGGTCATCTTCAACGGAACGCGTAAGTCAATACATGCAAAGAAATACGAACAGCTAATCGATTTAATTAATTACAATTTCAGAAAAATGCGATGTTACCTTTATAATCAGCGACGATGATGTGTACGAGCTGTTGTTGGGCAAACTGCCACCACAGAAGGCCTTCTTCCAGGGCAAGATCAAGATTCAGGGCAATATGGGCTTCGCCATGAAGCTGTTGGACTTGCAGCGCTCAGCGCAGGGTCGCATCCAGGAGCTGCGCTCCAAGCTTTAAGCATTCCATTGATATTTGCAATTAATTTTAGGTGGGTTTTTTTAAAACGGATTATATACATATATACATATTTTTTTTATGCTGATGTATTATTTGTAGCAATTATATTTCATTTTATATTGTTTTTCAAATGTAATTGATATCTTATACTCGTCTTAAAATATGTATTAGTAAGTGAAAAGGATATAGATCAATGATATAAATACACATCTAAAATGTTGTTAAGAATTTATATATCCCATATATAACTGTTATTGCTTCTCGTATGGATCATCACAATTTTTCTATTAAATTTTATACTATACAAAAAAAAAAAAAAAAACAGTTTGTCTTGATTTTTTGTACGATCCGAATCTTTATTGTTTCTTCAACGTGCATTGGTTTTAAAAACTACATTTATATGTGTGGTATATATATATAGAACTGTATATATATCATAATCATCGATATATATATATATGTGTGTGTGTGAATGTGCTTGCAAAACACGTTTCAAAAATGTCGTTAGGAAAAACACAAAATTTAAAACAACTGGGCGCTTTTGCACTTTAGTTTGACTTGTAAAAATACACGGCCAATGTGCGCGCAATCTATGCTAATATACAAATCTATATATGTATATAAATATATGTATATATAGATATATATGTGGATCTGCTTATTCAATTATGTATATCAAGTTCTTCTCTAACTGTTGCCAATGTGTGTGTACCTTATAGTGCCTGCGAAAATAAATTAAAAATCTACGTGTCTAAAAAGTATTTTTAGCATTTTTGAGCTTAATTAACTACAGTTACCAAATATAATAATAATATGTGCGGGCAAGTTGATGTTCGGCTTATACGAACGAACCTTAGCCCCAGTTTTGCTATATACAAAAAACGATATTCGGGCCAACTTTTAAAGCTCGCGCTTGCGTTAGACGCCAAAGACGTGGCCTTATCCAAACAATTAAAAAAAAAAAAAAGCAATTTCCAACAATTTCGTCTCCTTCGTTATATAGCTGCAATAATTAGATTGGCGATGCTGGGGAGCACATCGCCTGGAGAAGCCTCTGGGCAACAGGCAACGCACTCTCAGTAGCTGTTATTGGAGTTGGCATAGGAAGACAGTGAAGGCTTCGCTGTGCCTGCTGTGCTACTGGCGGCAGCTGAGGCGCCTGCCGTGGATGCAGTCGCTACTGCTGCTGMTGTGGAGCCGCTGCTTGAGCTTGTGGAGTTCGTGATACTGGGCTTATTGTCCATGCTGGCCATTATGGAGCCAAGCAGATCAACTGGCGACACGCTTTTGGTCTTCGTTGAACCTCTATTGCCGGCCAATATGATCTTGTGCGAGGGCAAGGTGAACGTTTTGTAGGTGGTGGTGGTGGTGCTACTAGGAGTGGTGCTGGAGGTGGTGTTGTTGCTGGTCGCAGATGTTGCCTTCTGGCTAATTTGGCCTCTGGCTGGTGGTGGTGGCGGCGGCGGAGGTGGTGGCAATGGCGTAGGAGGCAGAGGTGGTGTTAAAACCACCGCCGATAGGCGACCTACTAGCGGTGTCAGCGATGCAGCGGGCAGCACCACCTTAACAACTTGTGATGGCGCTGCTCCGATTGAGGTCGTGGGCACTGGTGGCTGCGTTAAACGCACAACTGGCAATGTGGACGGCGGCGGAGCTGCGGCCGTAGGTGTCGGTGTAGGTGCAGGTGTGACTGTTGGAGCTGTTACTGCTGGCATTTCTAATGGAATTACTTCCTCACACATTTCAGTTACCTCCTCCTCGTGATCAACCACCAGTTGAGGCGTGCTCTCCACAACGAGCTCACTGCCCACATCTTCGACCGGGTTGGGCGCCGGCGAGGCTGGCGCCGCGCAATTCGGGATTTCAGGTTTGCTGACGCTCGTCGGTGTCGTTGTGGTGGGCTCATCGGATACCATTTTGAGCTGTATTTTGATTTCGGGCTCCTTTTGATTCAAACTATTTACATAAGCTTCGCGGTGCGTGAACGGCGTCGGAGGCACAGGAGGCAGCGGCGGCAGCAAGGCTGGCGTCAGGGTTGGGGGAGCATGAACTGGGAGAACTGGGGGAGCTGGACTGGGAGTGGTAACGGACGCACCGCTTGCCACTATGGATACGGTCGTCTCGTTTTCTAGACGCGGCTGTTTAGCTGGCGTAGGTGAAGGCGATGCCAGGTCTGGTTTATGCTCCACCTTTTTGTTGCGCGCCTTATCCTTTTCCTTGTCCTTATCCTTATCTTTATCCTTGTCTTTGTCTTTGTCTTTATCACGATTCGACTTCTCCCGATCTTTGCTGCAAGGCTTACGATCCTTATCTAGTGACGTGGCCGCCGCTTTGGTCTGCTTGTATGTATGCTCCAGCACCATTTTGCGCATATCTATTTTGGAGTCATCCTTAGTCGCCCTCTTTTTGGGTGTGCTGTTGTTGTTGTTGTTGTTGTTGTTGTTGCTGCTGCTGCTGCTGCTGTTATTGTTATTGTTGCTGGTCTGACGCGTGGGCGAGGCACTCGCCGACGAGACATGATCATCTTGGCTGCTTTCGCTGGAACGGCGATCTCTGCCATCCAAGTCAATCAGCTTACGCTTGGCTTTGCCATCATGAGTACGCTTCGAGGGCGTCTTCTTGCCAGGCTCATCGTGGCCAACGGGATGGGGCAATATGGTTTGTTTCTCCTTATAATGCGGCGTCTCGGCCAGCACAGGATTGTTCTTCTCATTGATTACCTCCTGGCCGGGATAATACTGTCGCAAACGCAGATGCCAAGCTACGACAGAGGAGTGGATTAATTAAATTGAATTAGTTAAATAGTTAAGGATGATTTACCTATGCTTGTCACAGCCGTCACGGTGCGGAACTGGTGTATAATGTTGCGTGGCAGAAAGTAGATATCATTGTCACAGAGCTGGATGCGCGCATAGCGAATGCCATCTCGACGTAGCTGATTCAATTTGGCATCCTCGATCCATTGCACACACTGCGATATGGGTGGCTCGTGGAGATCCAGCTGCAGCATCTCCACCAGCGTATTAAAGTCCTGAGCGGCAAAGGCAACCACATCTTTGGTGATGCGATTCTGGTTATAAGATTGTCCACAGTGCACAGCCTTGAGAATGCCTGAAATAGATTCGGGAATTCAGATTGAATTAGAAGTGTGGAATGGAACAGTCAAAGAGAGAACAACAGTGTTTTATATATAGCTCACCAACTGCGGCGGTAGTGATGCGCTCGTGTCCGTGGCCGACATGATCCGCGTGCGCCTTAGTTCGATCCTCAATCATGGTCTCGCGTGCCTCCGATAAACGCGGCAGATACTGCAAATTGCGCAGCTCATTAATTCGCGTGCTGCAGGAAAAAGTTGCAATATTAATGATCAATTATAAAATAAGAATAGTCTAAACAAAATATCGCCAAGATGGGATTAGTTTTAGTAATAAACATTAATATACAAATGTGACTATACTAATATATAAATAAATGTACTTGTATTTATTTTATTTGCTATAAAAAAATTAAAACTAAAATGGGACATGTTTTTTAAATATAGCATTATTATTTATTTAATGTTAATATATTAATTATTACAAATGATGAGAAACAATAATGGTTTTTATTAGAATTGGAGTTAAGTGAGTTAAATAAAAAATTAAATATAAATATATAGGGAAATGTAATTTAGATTTCGAATAAAATTTTCAGATATTAGTGGGGTTGGTTAGTGAATTAATAAATAAATAAATGTATAGAAACAAATGTTAATGCTTACCGCTGTCGCTTGAGGGGCGTCTTACTATTCAGCTCCGCCGTGGGCACAAGTTGCTCGCCCGCACGAATCCATAAAATGGGTCCATCGTTTGATTGACGCGGATCCGTTTGGAGTATGGAATTCACACCCCAGGGCATTGTCTGAAATATATAATACATGAATCAATTGATGTACGCCAGTTAGGCATAAATTTAGTATTTACCTTGCGCAAAAATGGATTCTGTTCGATGCGGCCCAGCAGATCCGGAAAGTAGCCGCCCACCTCCTCGTGCACCTTGCCCACTAATGAGATCTGATGCAGTGGTCCATAGCGAAACGTGCCCTGGCAATAGTTGCGCACCACCTGCAATCAAATGAAATTAATAATAAATAATTCGATTAGCTGTTGGTCAGTGTCGCCCTCACCTGTTCATTGTACTGGGCCATGGTGCACGTCTCAATGTCCGAGTTGCGGCCAAGCACGCCCGCCTTTACCGTTAACGTTGAATAATTCTCGGCCATATGCTCCAGCAGATCGGGTATATAGCGAGCGGCATCGTGTACAATGCCCATCACATGGTGCGCGTAGCCCTGCTCGTCCTCGGCAAAGCATACGCTGAAGAACTCATCCACCAGCTGTTCCATTTCATCCGGCGACAGTGCATCGATTTCGTGCTGGTAGAGATGCACCACCGATGCACCGCCATTCGGATACTGTTCCACTTGAAAGTAATGACCGTATTTGAGATTTTCAAGGCCGGCGGGCGCTTTGCGGTTGCCCGTCGGCGTTGGCAAGCAATTCGTTTGCCAGGGGCCAGCAGCGGGCGGGTGCTGAATGCATTGAACGCCGACGCTGCTCCGACGGATCTTGGAGCGTTTATAGCATTTGGAGCAGTCCCGCGACGAGAAGGATGACGAATGCCGTGATGATGAAGAGGACGAGGACGAGGACGATGAAGTCTTGTGATGACTGCTCGTCGAATTACTGGACGACGAGGACGATGATTTACGCGCGCTACAGTTTGAGGAGGAATGATGATTGGCGCTGCTACTGCTACTGCTGCCACTGTTGCTGCTGTTGGTAGTTTTTGGAGCCGGCGATGGCATTAAAAGTGATGACGCTGAATTGCTGTTGCTGCTGTTGCAATTGTTCTCCTTGGGCTTACTACCATCGGAGCTGAAGCTCAACTGTCGCGTGACCTCGTCGCGTGTCTTCAACTGTTTGATCACATCGCCATTTAGCAATGGCTTCGTTTCCCCTGCTTCCTTTTTGATTTCGTTTTCCATTTTGATAGCCTTACTGTGGTTAAGTACCGTCAAAGCGGCAGACTCT